ATTGGAAAACTATTTTAACTAAAGTAGACTGAATGAGTAGTAGGTAGTAGGCATATAAGTGAGTGATTTTGTAAAGAATAATATCTGGATTAACCTTACATTGAAACACTACAAAGCATACAACTCTAGAATAAACTGTTGAAGAGCTATAAAATTTTAATATTTTTTTATTTTATTACAAAGAGAAAGGCTGGTTTTTGTTTTGGAATGGCTGCAAACTATAAGGATACAAAAATCTAAAGATTGTGTAGCAGTTTTCCATTGTTGTCAATACATTTTTATTGGCTGGAAAATCGCATGGTAGGATCCAGTTTTCCCACATTTATTTTGATATTGGTTTGGTTGTCATCAACATAAAATCGCTATAAGTCACAAAGTCATTGTTTTCCTATAAATATTTTAGTTTCCCCAATTTACCTGTTATATGCATTCATACATACAGGTAATTTAAAATTACCTGTAATGATATTATTACGTTTTTGATTTTATTTGATTTCTAAATGAAGAGCTTAAGAGGATTGCTTTTATCATTATTACTAGAAGAATAATGTAATTATTCTAAGTTAGATTTTAAGATAATACTATTTAAATCAGTTTCTAATCTTATTAATCATTTTGAAATTATTATTTTCGGATACAAGTTACATTAACATGCTATTATGAATTAGGGTTAAAGAAATTAGTTAAATGATTTAGAACTTAACTTTCATCTTCATGCACAAAGTGATGAATGCAAAAATTGTATTTACAATACATCCGTTCGTTTGCTAAACAAAAATATTAAATTACAGTAGTGAACTCACTAAATTTGCTATATATAGACTATATTTGAGGGTGCCCTTGGATTCTCGCCAAGTTGTGATCACTGTTGATCGCCAAGCTGGGCGATTTTGAAACCCAATCGTGATTCTGATTGGTTTAAATTTTAGCGCTATTTTTAAATGTTCAACGGTATATACAATTTCAGAGGTCCGTTAGTTCTACGTTGGATACCGACTGGTAAGGTTACTTTTGCAAGGTTACTTTTGCTTCTGGTCAATAAGATCGAAGGTACGTGGGCAGTCATAAAAAGGGACTTGAGAAAAAATTGTCTTTGCCAGTCCGGTACCACAGAGGCCATTTTCGATTCGTATTTTGCCAAATTTATGTGGCGATGGAGGTACACAGATTCTATTCATGATAAATTTAGACGGTATCAAACTGCTATTAGAGAATTCGGTGCACCTAAATCTGAGGATATTCAAGCTTAGCGAAGAAGTGAGTTGTTTTTTCCTTTTCTTTCTGTGCTTACTCCATTAATTTTTGTTTCGATTCAAAATGCATTTTATTGGGTTTATTAATTTTGCTCATATCGGGTTCATTGCAATTTTATAAAGTTTTGGCCGATGTTTTGTTGAAATTTTCCTATGTTTTATCGAAGTATCATTATGTTTTAGCCGCCATTCCTGTTACCACGGTGTTCCGCGCAAACAGGAATGGTGCCAAACATAAGTCGCCAATTTCGCCAAGGGGCACCCTCAAGTATATTTTCCCTCAATATACTTTTAATTTTGAATGTTATTTAAAAAAATGATTACTTAGAAAAATGATTTATGTTCACTTGTAGACCTTAATAGTATCATAAGGTTAATATTTAATCGTTGGAAGTTGAGGCACAAGTGTTCTTTTTTGTACGTATATTTTGTACAAATATACTTGAGGGTGCCCCTTCGGCGAAATTGGCGACTTATGTTTGGCGCCATTCCTGTTTGTGGAACACCCCGTGGTAACAGGAATGGTGGCCAAAACATAATAATACTTCAATAAAACATTGGAAAATTTTAATAAAACATCGGCGAATTGCAATGAACCCAAAATAAGCAAAGTTAATAAAACCCAATAAAATGCATTTTGAATCGAAACAAAAATTAATGGAGTAAGCACAGAAAGAAAAGGGGAAAAAAACAACTCCCACAAACAAGACATGTATATCTGTTACTAATTAAACCTTCATTCATACACCAGTCAATCACTGCTTTTTCCCCATTGTTATTCAAATCATATAGAAACTTATATTTACTGTAGCCATTTTAAAGACCAGAAGCAAAAGTAGCATTATCAGTCGGTATTCAACGTAGAACAAACGGACCGCTGAAATTACATATACCGTTGACAGTTTAAAAATAACGTTAAAATCTAAACTAATCAGAATCACGATTGGGTTTCAACAACGCCCAGCTTGGCGATCAACCGTGATCACAACTTGGCGAGAATCAAGGGGCACCCTCAAATATAGTCTACCCGTGTTTTTAGTTGAATAATTTCATCTGTTTCATGCCAAGAAACTGCAACTATTGTGAAGCAATCATAGGGATTGGTGAGCATCAGTGAGCAGGGGCTTAGCCCCTAGTGTTAAAATACTTTCTTACAATGCAGAATAGAGTTTATGTCGTCTATTTACGAAAAAAATGAAATTTTTTTTATATAAACAATGAGCGTCACGCAAACTGGAAGTTGTGATTTAAAATGCTTTCGTTTTTAAAATCCCCGTTCTTAAAATTGAAGAAAAAGTAAAATTTACTGCTTCGATCATAAAGAAATATCCCCTTCTGTTGCATACTTGATTTTGTATGACAAAAAAAAAATCAATCACAGAATTTATTCTCAAGTCTGGGGGAAAATAATTTTCTGGAAAGTTTCTCAAAGTTATTTCTTCCCCAAGTCTATCTAAATTATGTATTTGGAAGGGGAAAGCTGAAGGAAAATTTCCAGACTCTTCCCTTTTAATGTTCACCTCAAACATCATATAGACTTTCTCGCATTCATTACAAAACATTCGCTTGCTAGATATAGTGGGTGGGAGATAGGGATTTTTATAGAATAGGGGAAAAAAGGAAAAAGGGAGTGGAAAGGGATTTATGCCCGATGCTATGCTTCAAGCAAATTGAAAGCTTAAAGTGAGCAATGCTCAAATTCAAAGAGAAAAATGCCTGGAAGAAAGACTAAGGAATGAATNTTTAATCGAAATAGTTGCTCTAATTTTTAAGTCAATAGGTATGACTCCTGCAAGTATTTGTAGTGCCTCCGTGCTAGTTGTAGAGTAGCATTTAGTGATGTTGAGCAATGGAATTCTTTGGATAGTTAGGAGCTTCTGGTTTATTTTAACTTTATTCTTATACCACACGGAGGCACCATAAATGATTTTCTTTTCAATAGCCTGCAGGTATATCAATTTCAAGATATTCGGACTAAGTCCCCATGTGGCTCTACTGAACTGTTTTAGTCTGTCATAGAACGTGATGATATATGTTCTTAGATACTCCAGGTAAATCTCTAAATTTAGTTTGAAAAGTTTTATGGTAAAAATTCTGAATTGAATTGAATAACTTAAATATGATCTGGTAGTTTGTTAGCAGTGTTCCATAAATCATTTTCGTAGAAATTGATTTATTACTTTACTATTTTAATATCATTTAGTTGCTTGAAATCAAATGTTATTGGAAAACTATTTTAACTAAAGTAGTTAGAAATCCTACCTTTTATAAATGCTTATTTAGTCTGAACGTCTGAACGTCTAAAGTAGTAGTTAATCAAGTTGTCAGTCACAGCTACAAAAAAAAGGAGTTTATTTAAAATGACATATTCAAAATAAACGCATAATTAAAATATAATAGAGCTGGCGAAATAATTTTAATCATAAATTGCTTAGTAAGAAAGAAAATTAAAAAACATAATTTTCGCAGAATTTGGTTTTTAATTTTCTATTTCAGTATTATTTGTTCATTAAAATTAGATGTTTCGAGATTTCGTTTTCGCTTAAATTTTTTTGTTTACAACTTGCTTACATTTTGTAATGTATAGTTGTAGATTGCTGAAGTAGGAGGAAGGGAAATAATTGAAGTTAAATTTAAATTATGTTTGATTAGCTGTTATGGCAAAGCTCCTAGTGCAAATTGAGTAAAATCAATATGTTATAACAATGTTTTGACGTCTACATTTCGGCAAAGCCCGAGATCATAATAAAATTTGTCGTTTTACTATTGTTCGAACTAAGAAGCTGATATACGTTTTCTAATGGTTTATTAAAACATGTAATACGGCACATAAATGTTATTTACAGAAGAATTAATATATTATAAAGAACGTAAATACATATTTCCAGAGAGTAACAAATTTTAAAGTAATTCTTTTACTCAACGTAAATTTAGAACACAAAAATTTTCTTGTTCCCAGATTACCAAACGTTATATATCTCGTTGTCATGGAAATACAAAATAAATATCGTTTGAGTCACAACATCCTCCCACCTTTTGTATTGCCGCTAAACTGGCTCTAGAGCAATACAAAATGAACTTACCATTTGACAGATTTAAACAATAAATTTATCCAAGCTGAAATAAAGTAGAATTAAAGTCTCTAATAAAGTTTATAAGTCCAATCTATTCAAGGGAACAATGCGTCATCCATAACGAGTTCGTTTGTTACTGCATTGAAAAGTGTCTTGTTCAGAACAAGATAATTCAGGAATAAGTATGGTATTATTGCCTGAATCAACGGTTACATTTTCGGATGATTCAGGAGCCTTCTTGCAAACTTCAAATTCGTTCATCTCTAAGGGTGAATTCGTTACACTGGACGGAGGATTTCTTAAATTGCTATATGCACCCTTGCTATTCGTTGGATGTTATCTTTACCAGGAAAAAGTTCCATAACTCGCCCTCTATTAATTCTAACTCATCATCTTTTTGTGGTTTGTAAGTGTACAATGATCGGTAGGGTATAGATTCATTGTAAGTATCTATATGAAGGGTTTGGGTGAGAAAATATTTGCCATCTAGTTTGTCTAGTTTAAGAGTAGGTTTTTCCTGATTTGGCCAGAGTCCTGTAGTAAATGTTGGACCTTCATTAGATTTTGGTGTCGATCCATTAATAATAGGACTGAATACAGGACTTAATGGTGGTTTGGGAGATATGGCTCGAGGGTCAGGACACTCTCCTGGTTCTTGAAGAACTTGAACGTATGAAACAGGGAAAATGCCTTTTTTGGTACCTAAGCTCCCTTCGTACCAATTTCGATCAGCTTTCCTTAATAGAAAAACTTTTTCTCCTTTGAAAAGAGATAATTCCATTGGTGTTTGAGCTCTGAAGTTGTATTTGACTATTGCTTCACCTTCAATTGCTTTTCGAGGTTGCGAATTTGCTTTTTCATTGGGGATAATTTCTACAGAAGAAACTGGAAATATGCCTATTACACCGTGATGTTCGCCTTCATACCAATTTCTGTCAATTAGCTGTTTGATATAAACTATATCTCCCTTATTCAGACTAAGCTCTCTGGTAGTTTGTGCTGTAAAAGGATATATAGCTCTGGCCATAGTCTTTGGTAGAGGACCCCTATGATATCCAGATGGACTCAATCTGTAGTGGGCAGGGTCAAATGGATTGTCGTATCGAAGAGGAATTGGCGATTTTTGAGATGGTGTGAAAAAATCACTGTGCCTTCTCATTTCAATTTCTGCTAGTTCCTGTTGTTGTTTCTTTCTTCGTTCTTCTTCATACAATTTTCGCATCACGTCTTCTTGAATTTTCTTTAATTGCTCTTCTTCTATGTAATCTTCTTATAAGAGCGCGATGGAGAATATTTACTTCCGTTTCTTGAAATTGATGCTGAGGAGCTGAAGGTTTTTCTGGTACAGTTTTCCGCAGACTGGTGAGAGGTATTTTTCCTCCCTTTTGTATTTCTTCGTACCAGGTAATCTGTTGTTCCGGATCTACTTCAATGCTTCTTCCCGCTTTTCACATTAGCGTTGAATCTGATTCGTAACCATCACTTAAAAGGACATTTGGCCACCGACACCAACGACTAAGTCCTTGCTGGGTTTTCGGACTACTTCCTAAATATTCATGTTTTTGAAACTCCTTCTCAGCTAACGAAGACTTTCCTGGTTCGTATTCTGTGATGCTTCGGGGTTCCTATTTGTAAACTTCACGTCGAGGCTCGTGTCGTATTATTGTCGTATCAACAGGTAACGGGCTAGGTTTTTCTGATGATGCCTGGCGCTTATTTGTGACAGGTACAGATTTTTCGGGCTTACGTCTATAATCTGAAGTAGCATATTTCACTTTAAACTTTTCATTTCAATCAAACTCGGGTTCAGACATGTCACCGAGATGAACCATTTGTGTATGACCACCTTCGTTAGGAAATTTAACTCTATGCAACGACTTATACATGATTTTATACCAGTCACTGGCGTATTCTTCTTTTACACCCGTTCGAAGACCAACTGGAATTCCATATTCTGTTGGTCTTCATGTACAGTCTCCGTTTTAGATCAGCCAAAAATATGCTCTCTATTGCCCAGAGTATTTGACAAAAATTTATTAGCTGAACTTAAGAGTCATGATATTGTTTTGACTGACATTGGGAAAGAGACCCCTCCCATTAGACTGTTATTGGGAACCGACGAAATCGGAAAACTGCTGACTGGAAGAGTAGAAATTCTTAAATCGGGTGTATCTGCTATTGAGACAGGACTAGGTTGGAGCTTTTTAGGCAGTGAAAGAAAGAAGTGAAAGAAAGAAAGAAATGGTCTCCTTTTGTCTACAAAACTCAGAACTTGAATCTCCTAAACCAGCAGAAAACCTCAAAAAATCAGATTCCTTTACGAGTGATGGACCAACAGAAGACTACAAACCTCCAGATATATCATCTGCACCAACTACTTTCACAAAAAGTGGATGGAGTAGTCATTTACCTCCTTCACAAAGTCCGACTATTACACTTTTACAAAAGGCTAGAGAAGGACAAATACCAAAGGGCGCTATTTATACAGAAGACAAGCCTGAAACATCACCAATACCAAAAAATGCAGTTCTAATTGACCAAAAAGTTACCGTCGAAGGTGACAAAGTACCCACGGACAGCTATTATGCAGTGCCAACAGTTACGACGGAAACCACGACGCATTCCATTAACCCTTTCGCGACGCAAAGCGCGAAAGCGCGCTTACCGCTGAGGCCGGCAGTCTCTCTAGCTTGTGTCTCCCCAGGGCCGGAGGGTTTTTCGATGTTAAGCCTAATTCCATGAAATTACCGAAATATCAGCGCGTTGTTTAATATTGTTCTGTAGAGTATTTAAGTGACATATGCTTTATATATATTTCTATGGATACTTTATTTACTTAAGTTATTTCTTGTTTAAATGTATATTTTACACATTTTATTTTCATTATAGTGTCACTATCACTACTATCCGAATCTGTTTCAGAATCAATATCTGAAATATTTTGCATAATTTCCTCTATTTCCAGCTCAGTCAAAATTTTTCGACGCTTCGACATTCTAACGGTAAAAAGAAAAAAAAATCAAGCCTGCAAGATCTAATTATCCACTAAAAACTAATCCGAAAATCGAAAGTAGCGAGAGAAAAAAAAAACTCCCTTACTTACTGTAAATAAATATCACGTGCTAATTTAAAGAGCCCTCATAAAACATTCCCCCCCTCCACTCCTTCCCATAAAAACCACGTGACTGTACTTTCATCTTGAGTAGAAGGTCAAATCTACATGTATCTGAAACCATATGGACATACAATGCCATCTTTTGGAAGAAATTTCATTTTTTAAAACGTTCCGAAACGCTGGCACAAATAAGTGACGGTCGGGGGTGAACAAGAAAACTCTCTGACACGCGGGTGTGTCGGTCGGGAAGTGAGCGCGTTTCTTCCTGTCACATATATGTGACAGTCGGCTCGAAAGGGTTAAGGGTCAACCTCCCAAATATGATTGCATTGGTTCAGCAGTTTCTTCTACACTGACATCATAACGGTCGTGTACTGCTTCAGGAGTTTGCTGTCCTCCAAATAAACCCTGTGAAAGTATTTCTTTTCCTGAAGAAGAAAGGCCAAGTTCTTGAGCTAAACTTTTTTCAATGTAAGATCGTTGAGAGCAGTCATCTAATAGAATGCGCACGTATTGGCTTCGACCTTTATTTCGTAATCGGACAAGGAGTGTTTTCAAATAAATTGCCTTTGGAGTCGATGGAGCTATAAATAGAGTCGATGCACTCTCTTCCTTTCGAACGGCATTGGTGGACCTTATTTCTTCTTTCTTAATTGGTTTAAAAGATGCATTATTATTTACAAGTGGTAGTTCAGGACATAAAACTGCATAATGTCTCTTTGAACATATTATACACGGAACTTTACTGCGGCACTTTCGGGCTAAATGTCCACCTTTCAAACAAACTAATCTAAGTCCCTTATGTATTACCACCATCTTCTTGTCTTCTCTAGTCAGTTTACTGGCTCCTCCACAATCTTGACTGAGATGTGAATTATCACAGAAGACACATTGGTGATTTTCGTATGTCGAAGATATAAGAAAGGAAGCGGATGGTACATCATTCTTAACAAAATCTGTATTTTCTTTCTTAGTTTTTATTTGAGCTCTAAATCCTGATCTAGCTAATTTTGTCATCTTTTCGCCATTGACTTCCTGTCATAAAAAGTTCATAAGTTGTTCAAGAGACCTTTGGCTGCTCTCAGAAACAACATCGTTAGTACATGGTGCGGAAGACATTCTATGTCTCTCCCAGGCTCTTAAAATATCTTCAGGAAGACAAGATTCTACTAAAGGTGATAAAAAATCAGCAAACTTTTCTTTAGATTTACCTAATGTGTCCAGGGCTCGTAAGTGTGACTCAAGTTGATTGTACAAATTTGTCAAATCTTCACTTTTCTTGCCACAGAGAGCATTCTTAACAACTAATTTCAGCAACTCTCGAACGTAAACCTGCACTAACAGCTGCCAAATCTTTCTTTAAGGAGCTCAATCGCTATGCCACTGGAGCCGTTGGAAGGAAACTTTCTATTAAGCTAGCTGCTCTAGAGCCAGGAGTTATAGCTTGTATTAAATATTGGAATTTGTCTTCCGATGGCATTTCCTTATCTTCATGTATTCTAGAAAACTGGTTCCAAAATCCCAAAAAAGATTTAATATCGCCGTTAAATTTTTGAAGTTCCAGCTTTGGCAAACGATACTTTCTGTTACTTGGCGCGTTTTCTGCAATGACGCCAACACTATTTTCGATGCGTTCTAATTTTGATTTATATGAAAGATATTGATCTCTATAGTTTTCAGCCTCACTATAAACTCTTTTACGTATTCTTTTTCATTATCGTTTGTAATATCCTTTAATAATATTTCCGTAATAGAATTCTGTATTGATTCTAATCTCTGAAATTTATCGGATAACTGAGAACTAAATTCTTGTAGAATATGCGTATTAACTTCCTGTTTATTAATGTCTGTAGAAATAACCTTCGTAAAATTCGTAAACGCCGTTCTTAAAATTTTCCGCTGTAGTTTTAATGCTTCCATTTTTATCAATTTTTAACAAACGTGCAACAGTTTTTAGTAAATGTAACAATAGAAACCAAATTCGTAATAATAATAATAGGAATGGTACCTTTCACGGACGCCAAATGTTCGAACTAAGAAGCTGATATACGTTTTCTAATGGTTTATTAAAGCATATAATACGGCACAAAAATGTTATTTACAGAAGAAATAATATATTATAAGGAACGTAAACACATATTTCCAGAGAGTAACAAATTCTAACGTAATTCTTTTACACAACGTAAATTTAGAACACAACAATTTTCTTGTTGCCAGATTACCAAACGTTATATATCTCGTTGTCATGGAAAAACAAAATAAATATCGTTTGAGTCACAACAACTATACAATTGGGTATAATATAAAAAATCACAACTACTTCCACTTAGTAG